ATTTCCATATTCTGATCTAATATCAACTCCAAAAAGAATTTCTGTTACAGCAGCAGTAGTACAATTAAATGCATGGCCCCCATCAATGATCCATCTTCCTTCATTGCCCTCAGCTAAAGTATTATCAGCTAGTGAACCAACTGGTATAGCTGCTTTAGCTACTAGTAGACTCAAGTCCATGAATCCTTCAGTACATACTCCTTCTCCTGTTGCTCCTTTATTACTAGCGACCAATAATAATAGGATAAGAACAAAAAATGAATGAGCTAAGGAAAAGGTCATTTCTTGTTTCTTTGCCACAGTACAGGATTTGATCATGAATATTCTATTAGTTTAGATTATTTGGTTGCAGTATGCATTGTTGCACCCACACTCAGCTCAACCCATCATGTTGGAGACAAATTAAATCATGTGTATTAAGTCTCCAACTATCATTGCTGGTCTAGCCTACAACATTCAACCATTCCATGATGTAAGTGGTACTACCACTTACATAATAAATGATTGAACTTTGTAGGCGAGACCAGCAATGTTTAGCCAGATTGTGTTCCACAGAAATTATACAAAATTTGAGCTAATTCCAACTGCATTTTTTGAATTAGAAAATTTCAGAAATTTGATTGACTACCATCTATAAATAAAAGTTCCAATCTTTAGTATTTGTCACATAAAAGACTACAATAATAATCTCATTCATATGACATGCTTCTAGACATTCATTCACATACATTGGTACATTTCTATTCATTTCATGAAGTGGCCACTGAGCTTGAAAATGGGCCACTAATACAAATAAAAGCCACACAAGTTAGCAGTTCTGAGTTTGTTACTATATAAGCTATTCCTAATAGCAACAGCATTATTCTTATGACTATTTAGTATGACTACTAAATTTGATATTATTTTCAGTGCGCATTGTACATGAATTTAATCAAGCAGAACCTCAATTGATGTTTATAAATTATATCAATACAGTCATTTTGGGAAGCAAGACTATTAGGGTCTATGGTTAGGCTAAATTTACCACACCTAATTTTACTAGTGTTGTGTCTAAAATCATGCAATGACTGATAGATCCGATCAGGAGCCCATGAACATGCTTGTTTAATTTAAAAGAGAAAGTCATAGTAATTGTGGTTTTGAAGAACAACTAAGGAACTATAAATGAACCAAAGAAGAAAAAGAATATTTATAAAATAGCAAATTTGAATTTTTTGTACTGTCTAATTATTTTCACAACACAATCACTTTTACAATAATATTTTATTATAATTCATGGATGTGCTTTATGTGATTAATTTTTATAACATCAATGTCCATATGTTAGATGCACAACTCTTCTTCTTTCTGTTGTGTACATGTTTCTTTATGTGCTGGCATTACAATTACCTGCCAATAAAAATATCGTCAAGCAATGTGGATAAATGCACTGTGATGACTAAGACTTTTAATGTTGATTTAACTAATGAAATTGAAATTAACTGTGGCTACATAATTTACAGTATATTGCAATGTTATACCTCTAATTCATTATTCATTGTTCTTGGCTTATCATACACTAATGGTTCATCGTACACTAATAGTTCTTCATTAATACCTATAATTTTATCAAAATTATAAAAATAGTTCTTATTATTTTACTTTGTGTCATTACAGTGTTGATTCCATAAGCAGGATTACTATAGATATTGTCTATTTTAATTATGCAAATATTACTCTTTCAGGTATAGCTAATATTAATATTACTTTCATTTTGACCAATAACACCATAAGCAGCATTGGCAGAACTTGAAAAAACATTCTGTCTTTCATCTATTATGATAACAATAAATTATTGAAGTTAGTAAATGTTTGTTATTATAAGTTACCTTGTTTTTGTTCATCCACTATTCTTTCACTATTACTATTAGTATTTCCAGTACCTAACTGTTTTCTCCTACACACTAATACACTCACTATTAATATTACTAGTATAGTAACTACCAGTAATATAAATACACTACTAGTACTTCCTGCTAGTATTAGACTCCCTGTACTTTGATCAGGTGTACTTTCCATTGATGTAGTGTTCAGTTTAGTAGCAGTAGCACTGCTACTTGAAGTGACTGATACTTCACTGGTAGAATTGCCTCGTGATACAGTGTTTTGTGTACGAGTGAATTCAATACTGGACAATGGTGTAGTTATTGACTCAGTAGTAGAGAGAGTTGGAGAGGGAGTAATGGCATTGATTGAGCTACTTGATGAGGATACACTGCTTAACAAGGTATTGGTAGTGCTTGATAAGGTAGTGTAATGTAAACTGGTAGAGTGGCAAGGCAACATTGTTATTATAGTAGATGAGAATTCAGTAACTGAAGGGATTGGTTCTAAATAAAGTCATAAAATCAAAAATATTAGAATAAAGAAACTCACTCGTTATAACTGATATCAGTGGATAGTCATTATGTTCCAATTGTATTAATCCATTACTGCTATCAAGCTCATAATTCAATGGTCCATTGTATTGTTGATAATACATTGGATTACTATTAGTGGTTACATTGATTACTAATATATCTCCATACTGTACTTCAATATCACTTGTAAAGTTATATACATTACTATTACTTGATGTAGCAGCAGAAGCATCGACAGTTAGTGCATGAATCAATTTAAATGAACGTTTTAAATAAATGTTAGGATAATGTTTGCTTGTATCCTGATTCTGTGTAATACCAATTATCCAGTTAGTAATAATACCATTACATGTGAACTGTATATCAGGAAAAGCTCTTGTATCATTGACTGGTATTACATTAGTAACTGATAGACTGTTTGCATTGATTTCAGTTTCAGTGAAAAAATTTTGAAAGCAGTTCGGAGGGTCTAAATAAAAAAATCTATTTTAATTTTGTTAATAATTTTGTGTACCTGTTATTAGATGTACCATAAAAACATCATTTGTATTTATTAGATCAATTTCTCTATTTAAACCATATATTCTGATACTTGACTCACTAATGGGGTCTGCTCTTATTCTTCCAACTGTTTCTGTGCTGCTAGTGGTTGCATTGTAAAGTCTAACAACACTTGAATCATCTTCAGGTTGATACACTCCTAGTCTGTAACAATTGTAGATAGCTCTATTGCCACTGACACTAAAAGGAGTAGGAAGAACGTAACGATATAATCCATTAGTAGTAACATTATCAGGAGACAGTACAATAGGAATGGTTTCAAGTTTCCAGTAATTAAACAGCCAAATAAAGCCATAGTGCTGCCATATCTCAATGCTAGGATACTTGTTCCTATTACCATGATTTGATCTGATATCAACTCCAAGAAGAACTTCTGTTACAGTAGCAGTACTACAATTAAATGTGTTTTGACTAATAATCCATCTTCCTTCATTGCCCTCAGCTAAAGTATTATCAGCTAGTGAACCAACTGGTGTAGCTGCTTTAGCTACTAGTAGACTCAAGTCCATGAATCCTTCAGTACATACTCCTCCTCCTGTTGCTCCTTCATTACTAGCAACCAACAATATTAGGTTAAGGACAGCAAGTAAAAAAGAGAGTGAAAGAGTCATTTCTATGTAATGTAGATTATTACATAACTCTATCATAAAAAACCACACCTCAAATTAGAAAATTATGCATCTAATCAAGCAAAACATCAAATAAAAGTGAAACAGCAATTAAAGTAACTAACTACATGTACATCATGTATACGAATACACAGCAGGTTAATGTAGACACACTAGTTAATATATGCAATAGTTAATCTTCAACATACTGCTCTTGAGCAAAATTAATAAAAACCTACCAAAGAAATTATATATAGTGTCACATTTAGCTATACAATTAATGGTCATACTTGTTCCAGTGTGGTCTGACACACACTATAATCAGCAATATTAAGACTCTCCTTATAATGCTCAACAGTACTGAATATCCTAGACCAAGTTATACCCTCAGATGGTACTTGATAGGTAACTGAACCCTAGAACATAAGAAATTGACAAAAATAGCAACTAGTGATTTTGAAATATTTTAAAAGTCACTGCAATGGAGACTTACAAACATAAAGCACAATTAGTAAGTACAACGTAACAACCATCATCTAGCCATTCAATTACACATCGTTACTGTAGCCTATTCCTCTATTCCTTAATTGTACATGTATTTGTTTTTTTTCTTAAAACAACAACAATATTATTAATAATAAGGAACCTGATGTTGTTCTAGGAGTAGTGATCCTGGAAACACGCTTCCAACAAAGTGTTGTATTTGTCCAGTGTCATAAGGACTAGCCCCAGGCCTTACACCAGGTCCTCCTCCTTCTTGTGGTGGCAATGGACGCACTTTAATCTGCAATGTATAACCATGTCCAAACCTATCCACAATAATAATAATAAATGATAATGATAATGATAGATAATGATAATAATAATAATAATAATGATGATAAGAATAATAAATATTCTTTTTTAGTTTTGTTTAGTTTCATTACTTGCTCTTAAGATGTTGTATGCTTCCAAGACACTTGAACCTTCCATTCACCATTATTGCTAAACGTGTACACAAAGCCTCACACTCCTCCATACTAGCAATGAAAATAAATATAATAATAAATGAATTATTACCATAAAATTGTTCACTTAATTATTACTAAAATTACTAAAATAAGTGTAGCAGTTCGCTATTTGAATACTGTGCTTATTACACAAATACTGATCACTTTGAAGGATCTATTATAGCATAGCATTACCTATGAGAAGTCAATATAACACTCCTTCCATTCCTAATAACTTCAATGAGTACATTCCAAAGGTAGCGCCTGGTGGCAGGATCCATTCCAGTGGTAGGTTCATCCAGTAACACAATGGGAGGATCACCAACAAGAGCAACTGCTGTACTCAACTTCCTCTTGTTACCACCACTAGAGAGAGGGAGAAAGAGAGACAAGGGGAGAAAGAGAGAGAGAGGGGGAGAGAGGGGGGAGAGAGAGAGAGAAGAGAGAGAGAGAAAGAAAGGAAGAGGGTATAAAGGAGAAAGGTCAGTGTTGGCTGAGGTGATAAAGTGAAGGAAAGAAATAGAACTTCATGAGAAAGTAAGATACTGCATAGATGGTAATTATAAAGGAAGAATTTTTTTGATGAATTGCTTGATATTTTGTGATTAGCAGGTGTTAGTTTGGCAACTTTGTGGCTATGTAAACATTGAAATGGTTAATTTTGGCAAATGGATATCAAAATGGCACCCAAATTAATACCGTATATGCTCAAATTTTCGAGTGTTTAAAATTTCATGTTGTCAATGAAATGTGCTCAAAAGTTAATATTCGTGTGAGCTAATTTTCATGTTCTGGCCATAGTCTACATACAATAGAATGGCATTAGAGGTGGTTTAAATTTTGTGGATTTAAGGTGAGCATGAAAATAATGAAATTCAACACACTTCGAAGATTAAAACGCGTACAGTACCAGTTTTATAATACCGTATAGCGGAAAATTTTCGTGTCCCAAAATTTTTGCAAATTTAGCATTTTTCAAAATCCACAAAAATTGATTCAACACGGTTCAAAATGGCCAAAAGTAGAAAACCACAAAAATTAAAGCCACAAAATTGATTTTTGAACAGATCCGCAAAATTTTTGGGCCACAAAAATTTTCCACTATACGGTATATAGGAAAAAAATAAAGAAATATTTTAGATAAATAGGAATGAAAAGTATAAACAAGAAGAGAATGGCTGACCTGTAAGTTCCACATCTCTTATCAGCATATTTAGACAAATCCAATCGATCAATGACAGACTGTACAACTCCTTTTATGGCTTTTTCACGAATCCCACGCAATCTAGCAAACATTGTCAGAAACTCACGTCCAGTGAGTCTTTCAATCAACGCATCAAATTGAGGACAGTATCCAATTCTCTGCTGGACTGAGTGCAACTGAGTACTAGAGAATAAAGTGAATCAGAAGAAATTGTAAGTGTGACTGTTGCAATGTGCACATGTACAATACTTTAGTTTGGGGATTTACAATTGAAAATGACAATATTTTTTCAGAATTATGGCATTTTCTTAAAATGGCCGTAACTTGAAAAAATGAAGTCGGAATCAGCTCAAACTTTCTACACAGCATAAGGACATCAATATGCATCAGAAAATGTAATAAAAATTTGGGGTGATTTTGGAGCCATTTTTCTGAAAAATCCATGGGCTATTTATAGCCTTGGGTATTTTTCAGAATTTTGGCGTTTTCTTAAAATGGCCATATCTTGAAAAATTGAAGTCGGAATTACCTCAAACTTTCTACACAGCATAAGGACATCAATATGTATCAGAAAATGTAATAAAAATTTGGGGTGATTTTGGACCCATTTTCTGGAAAAACCATGGGCTATAGCCTTGGGTATTTTTCAGAATTTTGGCATTTTCTTAAAATGGCCGTAACTCGAAAAATTGAAGTTGGAATTACCTCAAACTTTCTACACAGCATAAGGACATCAATATGCATCAGAAAATGTAATAAAAAATTGGGGTGATTTTGGACCCATTTTCTGGAAAAACCATGGGCTATAGCCTTGGGTATTTTTCAGAATTTTGGCACTTCGTTAAAATGGCCATAACTTGAAAAATTGAATGTCAAATCAGCTCAAACTTTCTACACAGCATAAGGACATCAATATGTATCAGAAAATGTAATAAAAATTTGAGGTAATTTTGGAGCCATTTTTTGAAAAAACCATGGGCTATAGCCTTGGGTATTTTTCAGAATTTTGGCTTTTTCTTAAAATGGCCATAACTTGAAAAATTGAAGGCAGAATCACCTCAAACTTTCTACACAGCATAAGGACATCAATATGCATCAAAAAATGTAATAAAAATTAGCGTAATTTTGGAGCCATTTTTTGGAAAAAACCATGGGCTATAGACCTTTCCCGCAATGAAATATTCATGAGAATTCAAGTGGATTTACAAGAATTTACTAGAATTTATTTTAAATAAAGAGCGATTATGAGTCATCAAAGCATCACGATGATGAAAATCACGCCTACTTGTGGGACTGCAAAGACTATCTGAGGCTCTTAATCTTACTGCAAAAGCTTGATATGCTGAGATTTAATCTGAGAAGCTCAAATATCTGAACCTTTAGGATGTGTGCTTAGGCCTAGATTCCATTTGACAGGATTTGCAGCCTTGATCCACCTTTTCAGGACTAGCCTGCCTTTGAAAGTAGAGCTTAAGAGTCTTAACTGCTGGTTTTTCTCATCAGAATTATAGTGTCTAACAATACAACAGTTATCAACCATTAAAATAGGGAAAAATGCTAAGAGCAGCTGAAAAACCAGTCAATTTAGGTGCAAGATTCACTTTTCTGTCCCACTAGTAGGCGTGGTTTTCATCATAATGATGCGTTGATGACTCATAAATTCTCATGAATATTCATCACGGGAAAGGTCTATAGCCTTGGGTATTTTTTAGAATTGTGACATTTTCGTAAAATGGCCATAACTTGAAAAAATGATGTCAAAATCACCTCAAACTTTCTACACAGCATAAGGACATCAATATGTATCATAAAATGTAGTAAAAATTTAGGGCAATTTCAGGGCCATTTTAAAAGAAAAATCCATGGGCTACAGCCCTTTGCTTTTTTACAGTATAAGGCATTAATTATATCATCGTTACCTGATGTCATAGCCGCTCAACACAGCAGTACCACTGGTAGGAGTAATATCACCAGTCAGTATCTTAAATGTGGTGGTTTTTCCTGCCCCATTGACTCCCAATAGTCCAAAGCATTCACCAGTGGGTATGATGAGATTCACATCAGATACAGCTAACTTACAACCATGCTGACAACTGGGAGTACATGGACATATTGTAGCTGGAATATCTTTATATACCTGCATAAAATTAAGATTAAGATAATATAAATACTGTATAGCTAAAAAATTTGGTGGATCAAAATTTTGGTGAATTTGGCAAATTGAGATCAATTTGCTAAAATTTTACTCTCCAGTTTGATAGGGCTCTGTGATAGCATCATAATTGGCTAAAATTTCACCAAAATTTTAACCAAAGTCAAATCTATTTGCCTAATTTTGACACTCCAAATTCTAATCATTACAAGATTACTTTGACAAGGTTCTTGATTATAACAGCCTCTCCCTCGGCTGAATACTCAGAGTCATTAATCCTCCTCCTTTCTTCAGCAACATCATTGTCTTCCTAAATAATGAATGTACGAAAATTGAATCAAATCTACTAGTATATTTCTATGGTAAATAAATTACTGTATAGCGTTTTAATTTGGCGGAGTTTTATTTTGGTGATTGGCGGTTTGCAAGCAGAATCGCCAATATTAAAGCCACCAATCATTAATGCGCACGCTCAGTAATGCATGTGTACACAAAAATCGCCAAATTAAAAACCGCCGATTACAATTTTACAGCAAAAATTGCCAAAATAAAGCATACAGTATAAATAAATTACTCTATTTTTTTATGGTAACTAAATTAATTATAAATAAACTACTAACATTGGGAAGAGGAAGTGAGGATGAGGTGCTTTTATGACCCAGCATTTGCTTTAAATCAGGAATGAAAAAGTGTCTCTGTTAAATAATAAAAAAATAACAAAATTAGTAGTACTGCATCTAATATTAATGTTGCCTTACTTCTATTAATACTGAGAGTACTAGGAAGATGATTCCTTCAATAATCATGTACAGGAATATATGACCAATGCCAGGATAAGAGAACTGGAATATGTCCTTAATATAGCTATCGCAACTGCAGCAAGAAATAAGCAAACGTGAATTAAATAATTAATAGTAGATTGCATGTACATGTACATGTAGGTACATGAATAATAAGTACATGTATCTATGCCTATTTTAAAGTAAGAAATCAGAGCAGCTTTTACTAAAGAATTAGTATTTAGACACAAAGGTATGTGCATATAAAATAGCAACAAAAATCTAATCAACTTTCTTATTAAAAAATGTAGATGAAAATTAGTCTTTTTGAAGCCATTTATGGACTATGTACTAGTGCATTAATGTATAAAACAGAAATAAGGATTTGAACAGAAATGATACTACATGACATAATAACTCACTACTCATCTTTTTCACAATTATACTTATTCAACTGGTTATTATAAGCAAGGTTCAGCCCACTCATTAAACTAAATAAAAAATAAAATTCATACATAATTAATATCAATGTAATGTACTTACGAAAAACCAGGATGCACGAGGAAAATATAGTTCAATACTTTTGCCGTTTTTGGATAAGAGAATGTTAAAGCAAGAACAGTAATTTGAAATATCTAAAAATTATACATTATTATTATTATTATTATTATTAATTTATTGTTATTATTATTATTATAAAATAAGGACAGGTTAAAATAAATTAGGTTATGTTAGAGCAGGCAGATTAGGGAATAAGAAATGAGTCAAGAAGAAAAGAAAAAAATACAAATGAAAAATTAATCTAAATAATAATAATGTAAAAATTAATCTAAATAATAATAATGTAATTAATGTAGCATGTAGTCAAGTGTGGCTCCATCAGGTGTATTAATTGACTATTGTTATTATCATTACTACAAAATTGGATCAAGAGCTTACCAATGGAAGGAAGAAATACAAGCAGAGCATTATACAGAAGCCAACCAGTGGATTGGAAAATATAAAAGAAAATGAATAGTTCACTGGAATGCAGGCCCAACATGAGAGCATCTGTGACAACAAAACATTTAATAAAGTAGCAAAGTATATAAATACAGTATACTGGCCATATCGCAGGTACATGTATATTTTATTCGGGAAAATGCTCATTTTAAGCAGGATTAGAGATTTTTGTTTTATTTAGCTATTTTCTATAAATTTTATAACTAATTTTGACAAAAAATTCCCATTCAAAATTACCAGCTAAACAGTAGTAGAAACACAAAGTATTACAAAAAATCTATTTAATAACTTACAACTAGTCCAAATACAGCAGCAAGGTTCTCTTTCTCGAATCCTTCAACATTAAAAGCAGCAAAGAGTATTATGATAATTATTGCTGGTATGTAAGCATTAATGAGGTCCCAGACATACGTGCCTAGCCAGTAAGAGCTAGCATTAACACCACTAACAAACTGGAGATGCTTAGCCTACATGTATACAAAAATATATAATAATTATTTTGTCAACTGTACAACATTAAGCTAGGTTCAGGGTCAGAGTTCAGACTTTTTATGCTACAACCAGAAGTGCTGTATAAAGCAATGGTGAAACACAAAAATAGAACTGGTTCTATTTTGCATTTATCTATTGCGTTATACAGTACTTCTGGTTGCAACATAAGAAGTCTGAACCCAGTTTCAGCTACTTGTAGGTTTAAAAATGAGCAATATGAAGTATATTAATCAGTAACCAATATTACCTTAGATTGCTTTTCTTGTATTGGGAAAACAATAAAACTGGAGTATAAGAAGCTAAGTCCAAACATTGACAAAATACTGATCATGAGTCCAAATCCAAAATCAGCAGTATTAACAAACTGTGTGTATATATAATAATAATAATAATAATAATAATAATAATAATAATAACATACATCATCGTCATCATTCAAATCTTTAGGGAGTGGATCGTTGGTCACTGTGATGGAGACACCACTATTCTTTGACTTCAGGTAAAGATTATAGAATCCATTCAATGCTGCAGCTGCCATGTGATAAGCCTAAGAAATAAAAAGTACTTAATGTATTGTCTTTTGATGTATTGTCTTGAAGTCTAGATGCTATAGGTAACAAAATAATGATTCTCCTTTTTTAATTTTTACATCAATAATAATAATATAATAATGTTTAAGATTGTAGGCAGCGCAGTTTTTTAAATAAAATCCATCATTTTGTTTCAATCTGTGCATTCCCAATGACATGTGGCTCCTCTGCCAATCACAAATGTTTACAACAATTTTCAAAACTTCATTCCAGCCAATATTCCTGGTAGCATGATCTAAAGGAAAGAGTGTAGCTAACCTGATTATTATACCAGATGGTGACAGTTGGTTTGGTGTCAGGAGGTGAGGGCTGACTTATCCTGCTCATTTGGCAGGTATTATCCTGAGTACTACTACAGCTACATATTGATGATGATGAAAGTGAGCAAGATTCAGACTGACAGCTATCTTTGCTACTCGAATAACTATAATTCCAATAAGAGTTGTCTAGCTGGAAGCAGTTTAAATTAGGATCATCTGAAGAACAAGAGTTTTCCTCTTTTAGTGCATAATTCAAATAAGCACAAGTATTGTCTTCGTTATCAAAATTACCACAAGTAGAATAGACTGGTTCAGGTGCATGGACTACATACCCAGCCTACAGTATAAAAAATAACATTGTATAACTGGACTTGCTTTAATAAAAAATAAATGTACATATTACATGCAGTGTCAATTGCCCAACAGTCACATGACATTTCATGATTTCAATATGATTCTACAGTAGCATCAACACAGCCACTATTGAGCTTACTATTTAAGTAAGTTAAGGTTTAAAGTAGTTTTACTTTTGCAAAAATATTATTGCATGCAGTTGCAGGAACTTGAGTAGAAATTTTATTTTTTACAGTAATGGATAATAAAACATAACAAACAATAAATAGATAAATAAATAGATATAATGCATGTAAAATATAACTTTATAAATTTACATGTACATGTACATGCCTGTACATGTATACCTCAATTAATCAATGTATAGGAATTAGGATTAATTTGGGAGACATACCGTACAGAAGGAAATTTTGGAGGGACTAAATTTTGGCGAATTGCTAAATTTTGGTGATTGGCGAAATTTAATTTGGCGAATTTGTGGCCACGTGCCATTGAGCATGCGTATAATGGCTCAAAATGGCGAATTTTTATTTTGGCGAATGGCTATCAAAACGCCAAATTCGCCAAATTTAACTACCTCCAAAATTTCCTTCCATACGGTACATTATACAATAGACTTAACTCATCTCAGTGGGTCTTACCCCAATTATCCATTAATACTAAATTTACTAGTATATCCTGCCGATTCTAACAATAATGGGCATTTAATGCCTTTTTGCTTTCTGACATACCTTAAGCCTACTATTATTTACGTCTACTAATTTTAGCGAAATCAACAAAAGTCATGTTTAGCGTTACTAATTTTAGCGTTTTTAACCAAATTAACTATAAATAATAACCATTATAATGAATAATAATTATTTTGGCGTCTATTTAATTTAGCGAATTTAAGCTCTCTCGCTAATATAGCTAAATTTAGTAGACGCTAAAAATAGTAGGCTTAAGGTAATACTTCCTGTTGGTGGGTGTGGCTAAATGTGACATCATACAAGGCAGAGATTCTAAGCAATAAGCATGCCAATACAAGAAAACCTCAAAATACCACATGTAGATGAATCTCCTTGGTTGCTATTCTGAGTCTTTAATGAGAGCTAATGATCCCAATCTTTAAATTAGTGCCATTAGCCTATTACAGTACTAGGTACGAGAATAAAGGACTATTTTTTAAATGCAGCAATGGATTTCACTGGATCCCTGCCTTCTATGACGTCATGTTTAGCCACACCCACCAACAGGAAGTAATATGTCAGGAAGCAAAAAGGGCATTTTTGAAAGCTCATATCTCAGTGAATAATTTTTTTGAACAATGGAAGTCGGTATACATCATTTCTATGGTCAAGTCATCATACTAAGCCACTAAAATAAATACCTTTAAAAATGGGGGCAGTTACACTTTAATATTACATCAATTTTAAATCATAGCCAAATACATATGCAATACAAAATGTACATACATACATGGCATGTACAATACATGCAATACATTACTCTTGCTTAAGCCTGTAATATATACCTGATATATTAAGAAAAAGTTGTATAGTTTCACTTCTTCTGATAATTGAAGTAACTTCTCAGCCACAAATACATTCACACTATCAACAGGACCTGACAAATCATCATGATCATTAACGGATATTGACGGATTCAGAGGACAACCGGAAATGGCAGTACCATAATTATCGCAATAGTAGTAATCAGATATGCCATAGCAACAACTAAAAAAATAAAAATAAAACAAAAATAATAATATGTAATATATTACCCTAAACAATTCAGACAAGGTTTATAGCCAAAATTATCAGAATTTCCACAAGTAGAACGAAGATCACTCTGTCAATAAAATTAATCATTTAATAAAAAATATGTATATACATGTACATACTGTACTCCTTGAGGCACAATATTTGTCAAGTATTTGATACTTGTACTGACAGCAGGATGAGGTATCACTTATTGTTTCAACACTATCATTAATTGATGATACTGAGTCGGTGAAATCAAAAAAGTTTGTGCTTCCTAAAAATGCCACCTCACTATCCTGCAGTAGAGAATAATAATAAAAATGGTAATTTTTAATTGAGGTACAAAATTTTGTATAAATTGGCTATTTCATGATACCATATAGCAGGTTTTTTTGAGGATAATACATTTTGCGAATGACCAGTATCCAGAGGTTCGCGGAATTAATTTTCGCGAATTTCCACTAATCTGCCATCGTGTACTGTATTAAATTGATTTTCAAGGAATTTAATTTTGCGAATCTTAAAAAATCCGCAAAATTTGTTATCCTCGAAAATAACCCGCCATACGGTAGGTACATGTAAAGGCCATTTACAAAAATCAATACAATTATGCTACTGATATAAATTACACAGTAAATGCATAATTCTACACATGAAGCACTAACTGTAAATGAAAGTGATGGATCAAAAGAAGCCCAAAACAGCGACACGTTGTTCGAAGGAGCTGAGTTATCAATGCTCAACACTCTGCTGGGTGAGGTCGCTCTGGTAGCAACTTTAGGCACGACTTTGGCAACAATAAGTCCAAATAGAACAAATATCAACGGTATCACCAGCTGCCAGATGACAGCCTGCCAGAAGCGAATGGAATGATAGAAACGCTTGAGGAACATTGCAGCAAATTGTTGGACCCAGAGTAAAAGGCCAGTATTAAGGACTGAGTTTGATTGAGACATCATTGTACCTGATAGATAATGTACATATACACAATGCACATGTATGAAGAGTGAATAAAAGGATTTTTACATGTTAAGCTTACCATATCCTTCTTCATCAGCCTCAGCTAATGTGCTGTATCTCCTTCCACTTTGCTTTCTGGTTCTTGGATTTTTAACAGCTACTCCCTCTTCTTTAATAAATAAAATAAATACAGCATGTAAAGCGCATTTTAAACTGTGTATGCAATATGCATTGAGAATTGAAGGCTTGGCTCTAATAAGTTTACTATTTAAACAATACTAAATTAAGCTTTATCAGTAGTTTTAGTACACAAAATTAAAAGTGAGCTTAAGCTACTAGTGCTACTTTTATGATGCATTTCTTTATCAACTAATTTTAATTTCATTAAACACAAGAATTAAAGAATTAGGCTGACCTTCATTCAGATTCACTGATAGGTCAGTCTCATCTTCAGCATCACTTTTTGGCGGTATTGCTGCTCCTACTGGACCGCTGGGAACAGACTGAGCCCTTTAAGAACATGTAATAAACATAGAGTCAGTAATATTTACAGAGCTTATACCCAGATTTTTGTAAACATAGCCAAAGTAACATATTTAAACGTACATGTATACAGAATATAGTTTTGCTGCAGTAAATATTAGTAACACATTCATTAAACCAGGCTTGGGGCGAGTACTTTGGTACTCGTACTTAAGCATGCTTAAGCACAAGTTTGAAAGTACTCGGTATTTACTCAAGTACTTTTGAACAAAAATTACAAATACTCGTACTGTACTTAAATACTAGTATGTTTTTAGTGCTTACAAGTACTTTGAAGTACATTTTTCGATGCAATGCTAATGTGTTGATATAATAAATACTAGCTAGTGTAAACCACATATATTTACCTCCTGTGGGTCCCATACTATGACACTGGTCAGTTTGGATTTGAAAAGTTCATAAGATGTAATAACTGTCTGATTTAATTTATTAATTTTAAAACTAACTTATTAATTATTTGGGTGTGGTCAAGTGCTTAAGTAGTACTTAAGTACTGCAATAGAGTACTCGTACTCATACTGAATACAATTGTAAAAATGAGGGATTTGTACTCGTACTCATTTTAAAAATCTAACAGGTACTTGTAATGTACTTAAATACTTTTTAAAGTACTTCGCCCCAAGCCTGCATTAAACATATTACTCATGTATATTTTAATTATGCACTTTATATTCTACAGCAAACTGACCATTTACACATGTAGTTCCAGCAAATACATTGTACATTACATTACCAGCTAACTTATACTGTGAGATTATTATTATTTACATACTTTGAGTTTAGTAATGTGTTATCATAGCCAGTTGACACCCTCATGAATACTTCCTCCATTGTAGTCAATGATACACCAAAACTGCTGATCCCAAGGGCATCCTTTTGATCTATAATTAGTATATAATGTACATCCAGTCATCCATCAAAGTTGTTATTAATTATTATTATTATTATTATTATATTATTACTATTATTATTATTATTATTATTATTATTATTATTATTATTATCATCATCATCATCATCATCATCATCATCATCATCATTATTGCTATTATTATTACTATTATTATTATTATCATTATCAATATTATTATTATTATTATTATTATTATTATTATTATTATTATTATTGTTATTATTAAAACATACTCTCAAAGCTGTCAAAGAGTTGAGCAAAAAGATGAGATGATTGCGAAGGTAGAGTGAAAGAGAGTTCAGACCCAATGTTAGTGCTGACGGCAGCTCCAGTCACCATTCTCTCTACTAGTGACACAACATTATCAACATTGCAACTAGGATCCTTCACAACTGTAAGGTGATATCCTACACCATACCTAAAGCAATAGTAGAATGTATAATTTTTAAAATGGAGAATTCTCTCCAAGTCATTTTTGACAAAATTTGGCCAAAGACCATGTACTAAGCAAGACTGCAAAAGTCGTGGCAGACGTACATGTATTATTTTGGGGTTAATCTTACTTAGTAACGCTACCGCGTTACTAATAGTACAAGGACTTATCTCTAATTTTTAAGCAACTTAAAAAATTTCTAAAAATCAATTTTGATCAGAATCAGCTCAAACTTTCTACACAACATAAGTATATGTACACATACATGTACATGCAAGTACAGTAGTAAGAAATTATTATATTTCATGCTTCTTGCCACATATTTACTACTTTTCTGTACCTTGTCTTTAAAAATAATGAAGATCCACTACATTTCAGCTTCCCTTCAGCCATTATAGCAATACGATCACCTAACAAATCAGCTTCATCCCTAGAAATATAAACCTATCACAATTACCATAAACCATGCAGAATTCTTTAATAAACATGCAATAACACTAAGGCCACGTTTACACAGCAATGAAACCGATGCAATCCGTATAGTTTTGTGCCTGTTTTATGCTTCTGTTTACACAGAAACGAATGAAAACATGACAGAATCTTGATAGAACTCTATGAAAACAAAAATGGTGTTCAAAGTGGATACTTTAAAAACGATGCATTTTGCGTTGCTGTGTAAACGTAGCCTAAATCAAATAGCTGAATTTCTGACTGTTTAATGCCTTAAATTCTAAATCATTAAATTAAATATATCAAGAGTAGATAGGCTAAAGATTACAATTTATCTATTGATTCCATTCACAAACTTACATGTAAAATTTCTACATGTACAGTTACAGACTACAGTACTAGCTATAATGCGTGTGTATAATTAATACATGAAATGAGTTGTCAATAGAATAGTTCTTCCTTCCTTGTGTCTAATCAGTAGGTCCCAGGTAGCCCTTCTAGCATAAGGATCCATACCGCTAGTAGGCTCGTCCAGTATGACCACTTCTGATCCGCCCACCAGGGCTATACCAACACTTAGCTTTCTTTTCATGCCACCGGAGAGTTTCTTTGACTGCGTCTTTGTCTTGTCGACTAAATTCAAGTCTGCTATCATGGCAGGTACTTCTTGTTTTACTCTGTGACCAGGACAACCCTAAACAAAGTTAAGTACAAGCATGAGATAAGAATATCCAAGTATATGACTACATGTACATGTACATACATGTACATGTACATACATGTACACGTAACTTACGTGCCAAAATTAAACAGGCTCTGCAATTTATGAACAAGTGTAAAAACTAACATGCCTATGGCATATTCAATTACATGTACATGTATGACTATTGCAGTTTCATAGTGTCTTTGAATTTTTTGTGGGGAAATAGATTTAGAGGTTTATAAAATATAAATACATCTATAATAAAACCATGAAGATAAACTTCATCTATAATGTATGCTGTTACCTTGAGTCTAGCAAAAAAGCTCAAATGTTCAGACACAGTCAGTCTGTCAAACAGAACGTTGTGCTGTGGGCAAATACCCAAATTGTATCGAATCAAGTCAATATCGTTAACCACATCAAGTCCATTGATAGCCGCTCTTCCTTCAGTAGGAGGATATAATCCTGTTAGTATTGACATCGTGGTTGTTTTTCCAGCTCCATTGTGACCCAGTAGAGCAGTTATTTGACCTTTAAACATCTTTAATGTTAAGTGATCCACTGCTAGTTTTCTCTTCTTTAGACTCTATAAATAATGATTATAAAATAAAGTATACCGTATCTCCTTAAATAAAAGCCCGGGCGTCTATTTCCTAAAATGGTATTTGGACCTCGAAAAAATATATAAAAAATAAAAAAAAATTAGGCCCAGAGTGGGGTTCAAACCTGTGACCTCATGCTTTTGACTTCGGGAACTTCAGGCATTATCCACTAGACTACTGAGTCACTCCTGGGCTAGTGTTGCATATTTATAGTTTAATTCTATTGCTACCCCGGCGTTTATTCGAATGCAGCTTCTATTTAAGGATTTACGGTACATGTATATATGCAGCCCAACTCATTGTGTCTATATTACCATTCTATCAAACACTTTAGTTAGTTTATCAATACTGATGCCAACAGGAAGGTCAACTGGTTCCTCTTCATGAGCTGTTGGGTCATCAGTAGCTTGAGACAAAGCTGCCAACTCTTCTTCCTATAGCACAAGTATAAAGTACAATTAATAAAGTACATGTACATAAAACACGTGTGTATAAGTATATGTACAACATGTTAGCTGGCAATAATAGGCTGTAGTATTAATCAAAATGTGTGCCAAAATTAATTGATTCACACATAAGTGCCCTCATTTCAGAGGTACATGCTTTTGTATTGGTTTGTACAAATTGGGACATTACAATTAAAAGTATCTTTATTATGAAATAATCATTGTGTTTTCAAAGGTTGCCATTGGTACAATGTACATGTACATGCAGATACATTTGTATATAATTATTATTAATTTACAGATAGAGGCTTTGATCTCCTGTAGCCACACCAGTATGAAGGAAGAAATGGGAAGTAAAGGGGCTTTGGAACACCATATCTCCCAGGCTTAACAGCATCAATATACCTTTAAAATGAATAACAACAACATAATAATACTAGTAATAACAGCAACAACAAATAAAAGAGTATAAACATTAAGGTACCACCCTTTTCCCAGCTCAGATGTACATGTACATATACAAACATACTTCACCAGGTCAATAACAACAATAAATTTAACAAGAATAATAACGTAATACAGTATAATAAATGTAAAATGCTTACCAATACAATACCATGTACAATACTGTATCAACGATCATCATGAATATAACCCAGCCCATGTTAAAGCTGTCAACGATGGAGAGTGGACGTGCAAAGTTTTCAAATGATAATCCTTCGAGACGAACCTCAAGAGTAGTGAGAACATACACTCCATAACCAACACAAGTGTTAGAAAGAAAGCATGTTCCAATTTTTGTTCCACTATGACGAAAAATAGTAATAATAATAATAATAATAATAATAATGATTATACTGTGTATTCTTAAATAGAAACCTAATATCCCAAAGTCAGAATCGCCCACCAATATAAACTTAAAATTAATGTTCATTATTGTTTTGCAGAATACGCCGTACGTGTACAGTGCATCTAATACTCACAAGTTTAAAGTTGAATAGAGTGGGCCCAGGATAAGATATGGAAAGAAAGAGACAAACCAGAGAATAAAACCAGCTAATAAGCCAATCCTGGCAGAATTGAACCAAACACTAAAAACAAAATATAAACATAATCATAAAACATACAATGATAGCCATACATGAACATGCATACGTACATGACATGTACATGTAGAGTACATGTATATGTAAATGTACATGTACATGTACATGTACATGTACATTTACATATCTACATGTACATGTACATGTACATGTAGATACCACTACTGATTGCCAATGTTTGATAACTGCCAAATTAATTTCAATAATAATCCTTATCATGACAACTGCAATCTTTTAATGTACATGTACATGTATATGTTGTTCTTTAGCTGAAATGAATCAAATGAGCTTTTTATGCAGAAATAATTTAATTTGCAATAATAATGAGCTTTAATTTCGCTATTCCAAAAAACTTTAAATTTTTTTAAAATTCAATTTTGATTGGAATCAGCTCAAACTTTCTATGCAACATAAGTACATGTACAATGTATAAGCATCAGAAAAATAAAAATGGAGAATTTTCTTTCGTTTTCAATGAAATTTGGCCAAAGACCCTAGTGCAGGGTCTTTGTCTCAGTTTTGGAGCAGCTTAAATCAGAATCAGCTGAAAATGCCCATGTCACATAAGTACAAGTATTATAAGTACATAACAAATTGTACCTGACAAAGAAACAGAAAGCGATCCCAGAGACCAGAAAAAAGAACAGAAACAAGAAAATGAGAAAGACATTACTCATTGCAAAAATCCGTCCATACTATTCACAAATACATGTAAATAAAATACATTTAAAAAGAACCATATTTTATGTATAGTACCTTTAGCAGTATAGTCATGATGACAAGTGGCACGAAGTAGAATAGTAATTGTTTAGTGAACCAAGTGGTCCACAATATCCAGTTACTCAATCCCATCATTTTCATTGTTTCTCTGATACGCGACTCCTTTTCTAGCACCAGCTCCTAAATGAAATATTTTTAACGTGCCAGCCTTCATTTCACAAGATTTCGTGTGCACAATGAACAGCATTATAATTAGAATTTAATACATGTATTTGTTACTTTATATTAAAATGTACATGTGATTGGTATTACACACCTATATACTGTGCAAATAGATCTACTTGTACATGTACATGTATTTAACCAAATTCCACACAGCATAAACCCACTAAACAGTATTTGAATACATATGTACTAAGGGTTCACATGCATGCATTAATGATGCCAAATACATGTACATGTAAATGTACTACTAACAGCTATATCCATGTACATGTATGTACTATATTGCTGAAAGTTGAACTTAAATATTTGAGAGCAAAATAAACATGTAGCAGAATTGAAAAATGCAACTTCATAGTCAGTTTTAGTGATATCAACTTTACAGGATGCAATGCAGTACATGCATATTATGTGTACATGTAATGATGTAAGATACAGTACATGTACATGTAAGATACAGTACATGTACATGTAAGATACAGTACATGTACATGTACAATGTACACATATAATATTATTCTATTGTACCTTGACAAATACTCCGGCAGAATAGAGGAATGTTAGTATCATAAAGAGAGGAAGGACAACATTGACAAAATCAAGGAAAAAATCCTGACGATATTGCGGATAAGGAAATTGCTAAAAATAGTAAATAATACATAAATAATCATACAAAATTAGTAAATTATAATAAGGACACAAAAGAAAAAGGAGAGTACAACAGAAAGTCCACAAATCTTAGAGTATCACTAGCTAAAGCATTAATAAGGATTAACTGTTACCATAACGAGTTGTTTTCCTGAGTCTAATATGTCATGTGTCTAATATTTCATGGTATGCTTACTATGTTACTATAATTTCGTGGGTTTAAATTTTGTGGTAAGTCACAAAACCGCAAAAATAAAGTGTTACAAAAATACTATACAGTATTATAAATTTATAATCATGATCAAGAGACTTATTTGGAGTATATTCATGTAAGAGCTGTACACACAAACTATCCTACTCTGTCTTAGGCTTGGTTTACACAATGAAGCATGGTCTTGTGTTGCGACTGGAAGTGCTGTATAAAGAAATGCCAGGGTGCATCAATGCGTCAAGATAGATTATGAGCCTACATGTATTTTGATGCTTCAACGCACGACCCCATTTTTTGCTTTATGTAAACCAGCCTTTATGCTCCATTTTTAAAAGCTATGTAAACTGTCAGACACAAAAATTAAAACCACAAAATTGCCAAATCATGGAATTTAATTATGTATGACAAAGGACTATGTATTATGTATGCATGATTAATTACGTATGTATGTTTAATTATGTATGACTCCTTGTATGACAAAGGAGCTATTCATGTACTGTATATGCTAGCTTTGGCTTACCCTAATGTTCACAGTGTCATAAGTGTCATCGACATATTCTCCTGTTTTCCATTTCACAATAGCTTCATTCATTACCTTCTCTACTTGCATGAATCCAGTAATTAAATAATAACTACAAATAAAATTAGTAATGACAACATAATTTCTAAAAAACAACCAGAAACATGTTAAATACAACTAATACTTTATTCATGTCAATATTATTGTACATGTTGCTCTTATTTGCTATTGCCATAGCAAGGCTGCAAAAGTCATGGCAGCCATTTTGAAGTGGGGTGAATCCTACTTAGTAACGCTACCGCGTTACTAATACACATCACTGAGTACATGCACATGTAAAATATACCATTTAAAATGGCTCCCAATTGCTAATATAGAATGTTTGAGCTCATTCTGGCTATATGCTAGCTATGCTAAAAGTATCTGGCTATATGCTATATTGGTAATATATTATCAATCTTATATATCACACACATGTACATGTAATGTGTCGGTATACTCACTTGTCAGTAATAGCTCCGCCTCCAGTGTCAAACTGATTACTAACAGAATTAGTGTTCCATTCATCATTACAATTCGGAAATCTTATACTATACTTGGTATCATTAGAAAGACTCTCAAAGTATATGCCTAAAATAAACAATGGCATTGAAATACATGTACATGTATATGCATCAAAATCAGACAGAAAGGGTAATAAAAACTGAGAAATCCTTTCTAGCATTTTTTGGCAAAATTATGTATATGCACACGTATCATACTAATTGCTTTAAACAGTCATTAAGCCAAAAACTGCTTTTACATACATGAAGTATAACTTAAGAGCATTGGTCTATACTTCTATATGTATGATATAATCAGAGTTTTGATAAGAAATTTAGTTTTAAAAAGTATACGTAATGTACATGTATGTACATGTACACTACGCACAAAAAGAGATATGTGTATGTACGTGTACATGTATCTCACCTATAATACGACTAAAGCACCCATACCCTTCTGACTCATTTTTAATGGACCTAATGAAATCGTCTTCTGTAGGAAACCCAACGACTTCATTTGATGTCTTCCCAATCATTGGAGCAAAAAAAACCTGAGCCAACTCATTTGCTAAAAACGTCTCAATAACTTAGTGATAATAATTCCAGTAACAAATACCTTCGCTTGAATTGGGAGCATAATATATTTTATTACGATAATAGTCATTCTGGTCATTGTCTGTGAGTCTTGTTGTATCAAATGTTCTGAAGCATATATCGTCACCTTTAAACAAGCCCAGCCTATAAAATATAGAATATACATGTACAATGTATATGTATGAAGGGGTTTCCCACAAAAGCATGCTAAGTGAGCTAAACAGCATGAGCTTCATGAGCTGACAAGCACTACAATATAGTACATGGTTTTTGAAGCAACTTTTAAAATTCAGTAAAAAATCCAAATTTAATCGAAATCAGCTCAAAGTTGATACACAACATAACAACATGTATGCATACCAAAAAATTATAAAAATAGAGTTTTCTCTTCTAGCCATTTTTGACAAAATTTGGCCAAGGCTAAGCCTTTGGTCTTTCGCCCAATTTTTGAGCAAATTAAAAAAAATTCATTAAAAATCTAATTGTGATCAAAAATTTTTAGACAACATAAGAACATGCACAGTATCAAAAAAATCGGAGAATTTTTTCCTTTTGAAATACCCCTGTTAAATTATATAGTACAGAGTCTTTGACCCAATTTTTGAGCAACTTGCCAGTCCACTGACAAGAAGCTATATAAGTATTATGCACACATTTTGAAGAGTAATTATGGATGATTGTATACCTTAGTCCCACGAGGAATATAACTGCTAGCAATGGCAAAACAATCTCAAATACTGTGCCAATGGGACGCCGAAACTAAAAATAGGAAAATTATAAATAAAAGACAACATCATTACAGCATAATAAAGTACATGAACATGTATGAAATACTGTAAACCTATTAATGTTAGCAGCTACTTTATTTAGCGTTTATGCTTAAATGTCAAATTAGCGACTATTAAATTTGGCGTATCATTAAACCTTTTCCACTTTTCTGTTAGCTGCTGCTGTCGTTCCACTGGGTTCTCCTTCCTCTGGTAGCATCACCGACCGAGCAGAAGAGACTCAAGAGAGCCATCTACTAGTATCAGCAGAGTATCAGCGACATCTTGTGATCACGTGACCGGGTGTTTTTATTAGCGAATATTAAATTTAGCGTGTTTAGGCTCTTCGCTAATATCGCTAAAATAAGTAGCACGCTAAAATTTGTAGTTTTACAGTAGATTTTGTATGACATATCTACATGTATATAAAACAACAAAATTTAATTTGTTTTGATAATATAAATCATTGACCATAACTACTTCCATTGATCTCACCCACACTTTACTTAGGTAAGGAACTGGTCCGTTAAATTTTAGGCACCATTTTGGCAGATTTATTGTTGGTAAAGCAAAAGGCAAAGCTAAATGTAGTTATCCTTTCCTGTTGTGTATAACATGCCAACTTGTTTTATCCATGTTCATGTTACATTTTTTGCATTCATACTAGCTTTAAAAGAATAAAATATTTAGTCCACTTCCATTAACTCTGGCTCTGTGAATGTGGTTTTAATGAGAGTAAGGCCAGAGTAATCCTACTACACAACTTTATAGCATTAAACTGTCTAATAATAAAATTAGTTGACCCAGGTCTTCCCCAGCATTTGTGTGGACCAATTTATGCACATTTAGACTGACTATACAAAATGTGTGCTGGATACAAGGGATTGACATTTTCACAGTCAAAAAAAACAAATGAATCTCAATCAATTATGACTACTTAATGACTGTAATACTAAGGCAGCACAGATTATAACTAGGACAAGCACTCTGGTGATTATACTAACTCACATGACAGAAAAGATGTGATAAGACAAACAGTCTACATGTGCAGTGTAATACCAGCCCCTTGCTGCCCCATTTAAGCTAACCCACCCACTCCTTTTGTATGGGGTTAAGACAAGAGGGTGTCCCTATGTCAATGTGAATTATGTTAATACTGTCATTTCTGCTTAATTTATAATCATCTATAGACTCTCACATCCGTGCTGACAGAGTAGATAATAAAATAAGCACAAGTTACTTTTGATAACAATTACAACTTAAAGTAAACTAACTGTAAATTGATGCATGCAAGTGAAACCCACTCCCTTGGAATCTACATGTATATTATACATGTACATGTGGGCATGTACGTGTATGTACGATTGTAGAGATGAGCTCTTTCTTAGCTGGGAACTTTAAGGTAAAATGAGGCCCATGAAAGACATCATAATAATTATATATATATCTATATACACGAATTCAAAACTCTCACAGTCCTCAGACATCATCCCTTGCGATAAATAAACACTCTCGCATTAAAGTACTCTAGTGAGGCATATCTATGAGTGAAGTAGACTAGCTCAAGGGTCAGGCCAGGCTCCGCCTGAGTAGAGCTACAACTACAAGTGAATCTTACTTGAAGAATAAAGTTCTTCCATAACAACAAGAAGTATTGCTGGGTTAGTAGGGAGCATGATTTCCAGCACCGACCGCTCGGCTTCATCTTCTGTGCTGTGCCTTCTTCAGCTGGCCGGAATCTCTGCCAGAATTAAAAAGAAGTCATGCTTTGGTCATGAGGTCACCATTGCGTCATAGTACAGTGTTAATTATAATCATAATAGAGAGAGGGAAAGTTTTCCTCCTCCCTTTTGCTATGATTGCTATCAAATGGTGTAAGACTGTCCAGGATTACATTACAGTCTTGAATTTAATTAAAAACAATGTTAAATCAATTTTAACAGTGTAGACTATAAATATAAAATTTCAATGCAAACACAAGTTCAATCTAACTTCTACCCCATCATGGCAATGAGTAGTATTCTTCAGATATTTGCTTTAGCTGATATAACTTTCACTTGTCCCATGCCCTCAAGAAGTGTAATGATGACGTCCTGATTCTTTCCCCACAGTTGACTTATTTCTTTATCAAGCTGTTTCTCGAGTGAAAGGCGACGGACATCATCACGCAATCGACCAGCTTGATCCATCAACTCAAGAAAATCACCATCAACATTTATGAGTTGATAGTCTGTTCTTTTAAGCACAGGAACCTATTAAATCATAAAAATTCATTTTGAAAGGACCAATAATATTATACTTCAATGTTTTCTTTGGTTGGACAGATGTCTTCATGCTTACGTCCAGTGAATACATCCAAACCTATCAAGTGCATTTTAGCATGACCATGCTTTCCAGGCTGTGCTTTGGATAGTTCCATTATTTTACAAGGGAATCCTTGAAGCATTGCGTACCCTCCTTTCCGTAAAGAAGAACACTTGACTGGACAAGTAAATGACATATCAGCATCACCTCCAAAGAAATCATTACACAAAGCCATTTTAGTGTACAGATAATCTCATGCAGGCAAAATATCAGCTTCAGATTGATGCTTGTTTGGTAAATGTTATACTGTGATTGTATTTTATATGCACTTATCATTGCCTAGGATTGTGCAATCTTTTAGTATTTGCACTATTTTAGCCACGCCTTTCATTGCTGAGCAACGTGCAACAAAGCAAATTCCAGAACTGCAGAACACAATATTCAGTTTCCCCGTCCAGCTGTCCATAGGATCCAGTGTCCAGCTCTGTAAAAAGCCACGAACAACTTATACTTCGCGTCTTAAGGTACATTGTATGCACGCTCAGGCTGTCATTCACTGCAGCTTTGTACTTTTATTTTTGGTGATTGGCAGCCTTTCATTTATAATCAGGTTTTAATTTGGAGAGTGGCTATTGAAATGCAATTTTATAAAAAAATTTCCCTCAAAATTCCAAAATTGCCAGCTATATTTTATACAATTTAACATCGTGTATTACTTTTATAAACAAACTGCACAAATAGAAAGTGTCTATTTTTATTTAAAGCAGTATGGTCTAATACCATTATACTAGCATTACAATTATACTACAAATAGCTAGCTAATGCAAATAATTCAACAGTGGTTCACGATAGTTGGTATCATTTTCCCTTGAATTCATCATTTCTCCTTCCTCTTGTTCACGTCTTTTAATGCACTTGTATTTCTCCAGTTTCATTTTAGCATAATGCCCAAATACCCTTGCCTTTCTTCCTATTAATGTGTACTTCATCCTCTTGATTACTTTTATGGCTAATCCAATTATTATTTTTATCAGTACACTATACAGCAAGACTGCTACAATTATCATTGATTTTTTCCCACTCATCTCCTGATATAAAGTGATGATTTCAACGAGTAAGAGATTAACAAGAACAAAAGACTCGACTCCATTCACATGCTTGTTGCGGAACGGCTTCCAATAGACTTGTATAAAAGTCAGTGGACTCAGAGAGATGACATATAAAGAAAGAAGAGTGACTAAGCTCTTGCTCCTATAGTACACATAAAACAGTTGACTCAGTGACAGTATAAACAGCCTGGCACCAAACAACCAGCCCCACCCTTCTCTATACTGGCCATGAAAAACATCTACAAGATTCCGTCTCTTTCTAACACATTTACAGTGCAAGGCAACAGAGCAGAAAGTTGTCCACAGCATGAAAGGCAGTACATAAGTGATGGTCATTATACCAGCTAGTATCATGAGACTAGCATGCCATTGATTCCTCCAGTACATCACGTTCCCATCTCCAAACCATACAAGGTAGTTCCCCTGCTGGGTTTTGAGGCTAGTATAAGTGAAAGTGGTTACTATACTTCGTAAAACCTTTGAAAAAGACATAAAGCAGAGAGTGGCTAGTACTTGAATTGAGGACTGTGATATCACATTGGATATTTTTGATGATTTCTTACTGACAAGTACCAATGCACCGACTATTAGCCACAGGTATATTGGTAATAAATAAGCTAGGCTTGTTTTTACAAGATTATTCATACCATTATACACACAGTGCTTGAAGCTAAACTCCATATTCAATAAACCATAGAACAGGCCAATTAATGGTTGGTTAGTATATATTATATCCTCTTTGATGCTTACCATTATCATTGCTGAATAAAAGAAGCAGCCAGCCAAGTAGCTCTCAGATACAGTGACTCGAAAAGTAAAAAAAATCAAAACAATGATTATACCATAGACGGCCAGTGCTAGTAGGTAGAATAATCCTGTATTTGAACATTTTCCACACTCTGTTGATGAAAACATCTCACTATAGCCCTCAGTACACCCGCCACACAGTACTCCTGTCCTATGTGTCCGACACAATGAATCAGCTATCAATACATTAACACTAGATACACCTTTCTTGCAGAAACCGACTGGACAGATATCAGCATAAGCAATGACTGAATTATTGCTGCTATTATCATTAACTGGGTGTAATATGTTATCTTGTATTGTTACCTCACCAAACCATGATTGTGCTCGTATCCCCAATGTGGCTGTGTTAATATCACATCTCCCATTAGTTACTATATTCTCTTCAATGAGATACGGATGACAGGTACATCGCCCAAGACCATCCTGCTCACTGTATGACAGTTCGAATCCAAGCGGACACGATAAAAAATCAACATATACTTTAAACGCCAGCAACGTCTGTGGTATCATGTAACCAACTTCAAGTTCATAGCAACCTTTACATTTTAATAGAGGAACTGTGACAATTGAACACTGGTGCTTCAGGAATAGTATAGACTGTGTTATACTCATTTTATTATTATGGTGCTTACGTCCAAGAGCATTGATTTCTAGTGCTGCTGGACTGGATTGGTTCTTATAGTTACTGGCTGTCAGTTGTAAGCTCAAGTCCTCTCCAGGATACTTATGGAACTTTGTGTTATCTGGAAAATGTGTCAAGCAAGAAGCATTGCTATTGACACTCTCTAGTGCATTACAGATACACAAGGCAATTGGTGGAGATGCAAAATACTTTCTGACCGAATCTGTAAAATATCTACTGAACGATTTATTGCAATGTTGTAGGCCATCACTGTATATCAAAGTAACTGGATTATTCCTATCAACAAAGTGAACTGAAATATCATCATTGCTATCATCAATAAATTGTATAGGACATGATTTGTACTGACCATAGGGACTAGCCACAGCACTGATCATACTGTATAAGAAATACCCTTCACCAAAGGATAATGAAATATTTGCTGGTCCTTTGATAAATAGGTATGATAATTCTTTTAATAATATACTCTGTCCTTCTATAGCATGACTTTGACTACAAAAATAATGAAATCATAACCACATTAATTATTTTGTGTGTATGTGTAATATTTACCTTATTTTTATTAATCCATTGAATGTTATGTTTGTGTCTGTTAGTGCAATCCCTGATCCTGTGTTCTGTTGTATAATAAACTGCCCTGCTCCCCATTGTCCCCCCTGCTTCCCAGTTCCTCTGATTATTACAATATTTACTCGCACAAATTTCATTGTTGATCCCTTAAGAAGGTCCCAATCATCTTCTTTGTGATAATGGCCATCTATATTAAATGGTGACATCCCTTCTCCATTCCTAGTTATTGCAGAATCCTCCATTATAATGCTAATGTTATATATATTGATCTCTTCAATGTTTGTACTGTCGCTGGTGGCATATATTGCATGACCTTCCCTAGTAGCCATGTTCAATATAACAAGGCAACCCTTTATTGTAACAAGAGCATTTCCTGAAAGGTAGTTAGGGTAGCCTATGAACATTCCTCCCCCAAATGCAGCACCGGTGTTTGCTAGTATTGTCATATTACTGAATGTTATATTGATGTTGTTATTGTTGTTGTTTACATTTTGTTGTTTGTTTGTTGATGGTCTGATAATAAATATGCCAACGCCACCTCCTTTTCTGTTCCTTGTTAGGTTATTTTTAGCAACAGACGATGATGTCATAACGATATTTATAGACCCCTCTCCAGCTGAAATTAGTAGCAATACTCCACCAACCACATCTCCTTTGTTATTTTTTATAAACACGTTATCCATATTAACGACCACTTTCTTATAAGCCAATGCTAATATTGTTAAGCCTCCTCCTCCAAACAGTTGTACTGATCTGTAGTTGTGACGCAGCATATCTATTGGATTAAGAGCATGTTTCTCTCCATTTACATTATTTGTTATAAGGATACTCTCTAATGTTATATTATTAGCATTATATTGCTCATTTACAATTATCATCAGACCACTTCCTCCTGCATAATTATTGCTGTCGTTTTTGTTATTGTCTTGTATTGTTAGTGCTCTTATTTTTGTGGTGTTGACTGGATTTATTACCATCAACCCATAACCATAGTACTCACCATTTATCATAACACCCTCAATGTCTAGTCCAGTAGTATTTGCTATTGTAAGAACTGTTGCTGTTGGCCTGTATAGAAGAGGAGCGATATTTTCTGTTAGATATTGTCTTGCTTCTGTACCTATTAATCCCCCACATCCACTGAACTGTATGTTGGTGATTGATAGGTTTGTTACATTGATGAATGTGAATGTGTTATTGTTACCTGTACATTGCACTGTCGCTGTTCCTCCTTCTCCTCTTATGGTGATATTGGCTAATGATTGCACTAAGCATGGCCCGACTGATTTCTTTTGAGTAATGACATGTTTTATGCTTGATGATAGTGACAGTGTCGTTCCTGTCTCTATTAGTCCATTGCAAAGATGATACTGCAAACTCTTGCTACTATCAATAGATATGCCAGTAGAGTAGTATATACTGAGAGATAGGAGCAAAAGACTCATTCTGCTAATGTAGTACTTCATTATTTTGTGACTGTTTACTAGCATTTTAGCTTTGCTTCTTTTATAATAGATAATTACAATTATGTATAAGGCTATCTTGTTGATAATAACAAAAACATGGTGTTGTAAAATAAACTATCACTGTTGTTCTTGCATGCATTATCTTTGTTTATTTAGAAAAGCTTCGATTAAACGGTTTAAACTCTTAGTGTTATTCCTACAAACTATAATTATTGTTCTCCATACTCTCTTTTTTTCTATTTCTCTGTTTGTTATTGTCACAATACTTTATCCTAATTTGTCTGTTATTTTTTATTGGAACTTTGCTTGTGATTAGGTGATCTTTTATGAAATGTGTCAGATTCTGAAAGTGAAGGAAAACATTCCGATATCAGTGTTTATTTTAAAGAGCATAGGCTACAACCAATATTTTTGGCTACCTACCAAAACACTCCTAATTACATAGCATATGTTAATATTGTTGAAAGAGCCACATAGCTCTTTTAGGGGAATTTTTAAGGTTAATATTATAATCTTTGTTGAGGAAGCTATCATGACTATAGCTTCTTGGCATTGGAAAGGTGATGACATGTATAAGTATAAGAAAACATAATAAAAATGGCAAATTCTTTTTGTCATTTGTGATAAAATTTGGCTTGAGACCGTGTACTGTAGTACAGGGACTTTTGCTCAATTTTAAAGCAAATTAAAAAAAATTCAT